TTATAAACCGGTACGCATGATATGAAAAAGCGTCATAGAAATGTGGCAATGGAAAGAAGGGAAAAAAAAAAAAAAAAAAAAAAAAAAAAAGGTAGAGAGGTCATTTGTTTTCCTCTTTCCTAAATCGAATCTGATTGTACTCTCACCATATCCAACCATAGATCTTCCTCTACTCCCTCACCCATTTTATTCTTCCCAAACAAATCTCTCTTTCTCTCTCTCTCTCTCTCTCTCTCTCTCTCTCTATCAATCTATTTCTCTCAATTCACTCTTAAGAAGATCTTGAGGAGAGACGGAGACAGATAGCTATCTGCAAGTATGTTAAAATCTGCAGAAGAACTCCCAGATTGTTTTTATTATCATAACCAGCCAACCTTAATTCCACCGCACACACCAACTCCCACCCATTTTCTCTATCTCTCCAACCTGGACGATCAGAAATTTCTTCGGTTCTCCATTAAATATCTTTACCTTTTCAGAAAATCTGTCAGCTCTGATCTCTTGAAGCTTTCTCTTTCTCGGGTTCTCGTTGATTACTACCCTTTAGCAGGCAGGCTCACTACTAACTCCTTGAATGATAATCACAAGCTCCTGGTTGACTGTAATGGCCAAGGTGCTGTTTTTGCAGAAGCTTTCATGGATACTACTGCTCATGAGCTCCTCGAATTTGCCAGACGACCAAGCAGGTCTTTGAGAAAGCTCTTGTACAGAGTTGAAGCTCACAGTTTCTTGGACATTCCCCCACTTGTCGTTCAGGTTTCCTTTCCTTCTCTTCTCTTCTCCGATGCGTTTTGTTTTTTCTAAATCTCAAAATTGCCCCTCAATTTTTCTTTATTTGTTTTAAAGGTAACGAATCTCAGTTGCGGAGGAATGATCCTGTGCACCGCCATCAACCACTGTCTATGTGACGGCATAGGCACATCGCAGTTCCTACACGCTTGGGCCCACATGACGACAAAACCCAATCACGATCTACCAATCGCACCGTTCCACTGCCGCCACGTGTTAAGACCCCGAGATCCTCCTATGACAAACTATGTACACCCAGGATATACCCGAAATACCCTTAGAGACTCCAACAACATAATAAAGCAATACTTGGAGTCGCAGCCATTGGTACCTTCATCCATAACCTTCACCCCACCTCATATCCTTCACCTCAAGAGACAGTGCGTACCGTCGCTAAAATGCACCACCTTCGAAACCCTAGCAACTCACGCGTGGCGGTCATGGGTTCGATCACTAGACCTATCACCTTCCCTGACCGTGAAGCTCCTCTTCTCTGTGAACGTAAGGCAAAAGTTGAAACCAGAAATGCCTGAGGGGTATTACGGGAATGGATTTGTTTTAGGGTGTGCGGAGAGCAGCGTAAAAGAGTTACTGTCTAGTAATTTGCATTACGGAGTGAAGTTGGTTCAGCAGGCCAAATCAAAATTAACTGATGATTATTTGCGTTCCATGATTGATTTATTGGAGGATCAGACGGTGATAACAGATATAGGGTCAAGCTTAGTGATATCTCAATGGGCTAAGTTGGGATTAGAAGAGTTGGATTTTGGAGAAGGAAAGCCACTGCACATGGGTTCTCTTACTACTGACATTTACTGTTTGTTTCTACCGGTGGCTGGTAATTTTGATGCGGTAAGAGTTGTGGTGTCAGTACCAGAGAGTGTTGTTCAGAAGTTTGAGTATTTCATGAACGAGTCAGTGTTGGAGAGTGAAGATGATGATGATAAGAATTTAGATGCACATGCTGTCGTCTAAATTCTTCTTATACTATTATTTAAAGTTCAACTCATTTTACATATATATTATTTATATAGATAAACAACATATTAACTTCACTGTAAGTTGATTATCTAAAGTGAAATTTTACAGAAGTTTTTTAAACAATTTACGAATGCAGGTGGTTCTAAAAGTTGCTTCGATGATACATATGTCATGCGTAGTGTTTCACATGACCACCCACTCGTAGATTGCTTAAATTTACTTTCTAAGTAAATGATTTAGGCAATTATTACAACTCCTGCACGTTAAATTTTTGTGGTATATATATATATACACATATATATATATGTGTATATAATATAACTTTAACTTGGTTATACACATGGATTGCAGGTAGAAACTAGGAAGGTATATTCGGAATTTCAAATTAATGTAATGGTAATCAAAAGTTTGTTCATAAAACTTCTAATTCTAGTATAAATAATTTGTTTTTGATCACATTAGAAAAAATGTAATTCTTGTGCGTGTAAAAATTAATTGAAAAATAACATAAACAGTAAAAGAATAATGTAGATGCAACATCAATAATTTGTGGGTAACGTCTTAATTTTCTTTCACATTGGCTGTTTGTATAATATATGATTGTCTCAATTAATCAATGAATTTTGATGGTGGTGGGGGAGATCAAAGTCAAAATCATTGACCTTATATTTTTGGAAAAACTGTTTTGCTCTTATATCAACTTTTTTAATTTTATGTCAAAAATTTGTCTTTGGTCTCTTGCGGCAACATTAGCAAATTTCAAAAACCAGAAGATGAACAGAATGATTGTACATAATTCTTATATATTGTAAAATGTAAAATATAAATATATCTATTATTTTTATACTTTATTAATTTATTGGTTTAATATTTTTTAAAAATGTAGTGATAAATTATTATTATTAATTTAATACTTATTTAGATGATTTCAATTTTAAAAGTTAATATTTCTATACCAAACTTAACATATATCTAACTATTATGAAATATTTTTGAGAAAAAAATTATTATATTATTTAAATTGTCACTGAAAGTTATTTCTTTATATTATGTAATTATTTTAAATTAATTTAATAATAATATATAACATCCCACACTTGATATGAGATGCAATTACTGTTCACCTCATTTTCATGCAATGGGCTTACAAAATATACACATACACATATCAAAATTTATCATACAACCTACCATCCCATGTAATATATATTTTAATTATATATATAGAATATGATGTTAAAATTTAGAGTTTAATAAAATAAAACGAATTTTTTTCGAATATGCATAAAATATACAAAACGTGAACTTTTTTTTTTACAGATTCTACTCATTTGGTGACGGTTCTGACTCTTATTTCTCATCTGAAAAATATCAGGGTGAAATTTAATCAGATTCACCAACTCAATAAATATTTTTGTTCTCTCAACTCATGTAAGATTTAATGCAAAACACACAATATGGAACAAATGCAATAGTGATGTTTCAATGTAAAATTCATTTATTATTTTTAATATTTCACATATTTCTGATCGGATTTCTGAATTCTCTCGAATGTCATATACAATTTTCAAATGTATATCCACATACTCTCGAAAGAACATAAATACACTCGAATATCAATTATAGTCTCAAAACATAACCACATACACACGAAAGGTCACATATACCACTCGAAATATCATTTCTAAAGTTTCATTGCGTGATGTCATTTATGTCACCATGAGGAGAGGCTAAATGGATCCCTCAATTACATGGATAACACACACACACATACAAATCTTACAATTGTTACATCAGGTATGTTTGCTATGTGACCCACACTCACAAATACCTGTTCACGTTTGGATTAGGTTTCAAACTCTATCCATGTCCAGGTTCACCATACCCGCTGAACTTCAGCCATACGCACACACTCCCCTCCTTAATTCAAACCAAACAAAAAATGGTATTCAGGGTCCATACCCTAATCACTCACATTCTCTCATTTTTTATTTTTTATTTATTTTACTCTTATTTTATTTTCTCTAAAATTTTATTTAACTGATTGTTTCACAGCTATAATCATTCTTTTTCCTTTCTATCTTTATTTCTTTATATACATATTTTTTTTTCAACTTTCTATTTAATTAAGAATTTTTTTTTTAATTTTAAATTCATTTCTCATCACAGTCCAAGTATTCCTCAGTTTTTGGGTTTATTTTCTGATTTCGTCTCCTCATAATTTTCAATAGCTTAGGTTCAATGGTTATAGGTTTGAGTTTTGTTTTTCATAAAAAATCGGGTCAGTATCCGTCCAAATTTTAAAATACACATAAATTAATAAAGTATATATAAATTTTAAAATCCAAATCCAGGTTCAGAATCAGAAATACTTACACTCTTACACAACAATCTTTCCAGATTCGGCTGGACATCCTAATTCCTTGTATGCGCATGACACAAATTAATTAATATAATTTAAATACTAAATAAAACTAATTTAATCAAAATTACGAATTCCAATGACAACATGTTGGAATACCTAAAAACATGGGGATTTGTACCCGAGAAAGGCCTTTTGGCAAATCAAATTTTCATACTTGAGGAAGATTTTTCAGCTTCCCGAACGGTGAATCAGAATTTCAAAAGGGTGAATTTGGTCTCCATTCCCGAGGAAGGCCCTTCACCTTCCATGGGTGGATCGGTCTCCCACTCCCAAGGAAGACTCTTCGGTTCCTGCGAGAATAAGTGGCCAGACCGACCTCGCGTAGCCAATCTGACACCAACCAATGCTCTCCTGTCGCTCAACAGCCACTAAAAACATAAAAAGAGCTTTACCTTTCTGGCGTGGGCTGATTCGGTCTCGGTTTAGCTACCGGTGGTCTCCTCTCGGCCACCTTGCGACTCCCTACCTTGCTTGAGATTCAGATGATGATTTTTCACGCCTAAAAATCAATTAATGTAAAATAGAAAAGATTCAAGAAAAATAAGGAAAGAAAAGATGAAAAATAAAATCTTTTTTTACATTGCTCGCGTCGATCTCTGCCAATGCACGACACCTCAGCCGTTTCCTCTTCCTCCTTTTCCCTTTTGGCTCAGCTTCCACCGTTCTCCCGCCTCTGTCTCTCTTTTCTTCCCTTGTGGCGGCCGTTCTTGGCTTCCCATTCTCTTTCCTGTTCGGCCACTCCTCTCTTCTCTTTTTTTTTTCTCATTTCCTTTCCTTTTTTTTTTCGGCCTCCCTCTTCCTTTCCTCTCCTTCTTTCTTCTTCTTGGTTCCCCCGTGCGACAGTCTTCTCCCTTCTCTCTCCTCAATCGGCTCCTCTCTCCTTCTCCCTCTCTCTTTTTCGGCTACTCTCACAAATGAAGAGAAACCCTAAATTTTTTTTTATACCCATTTTCCAAGCTGTTAGATCTCGTTAACTCGGTCTGGACAGTCTGTTTTTCATTAAATCTCAGCCATTTGATCTTCTCAAACGATTCGATCAGGATCGTCTGTTTTCGGTTTTCTTTTTGACTC